TATAGAATTCAAATGAGAAGTCAGTCCATAAAATATGTACATGTTTTTGTGGGTTTTTTAGTTCAAATAATGCAACATAAAATTTGATAAACATTTCTCTTATATCAGACTCTTACTGTGCTGTCATAGTTACAGTTGTTCATTTTTTGTACCCCATTTAAAATTGTGCAGAAGTGGCCTTTGTGTTTTGTAATGAGTGTACAGTAGATGTTCAAGAAACACTTACATTTAATGAAGAAAAATAAGCTACTATCCCAAGTCAAAAAAGCATATGACACTACTGCCTAAAGATAACTCTTGTGAATTAGAAAAGTAAGAGAAAAATAGTCTGTAGAGCCAGTGAGTTGTTGGCTCTGGAGGAGTAGACTGAGAGGGCTGTATGTCCTTAACAAACTCTGGTTTTGTTCTGTGTAAGATAGTAGCCCAACTTATCTAGCTTAGTTCTTTTTTCTTCTTTTACCATGAAAACATCTTGTTACCATTATTTTGTTCTGTCTGGCGCTTAAAATCGTGTTTTAGAATAATCTAGTTCACCTTTCAAAAATTATCAGTTATAAAAATTACATTGAGTTCTCATGTCTTAAGAACAAGAAGCCTGTAAGTGTATTTTAAAAACTGTAATTTTGTATTTATTTTAAACAGCTTTTTATTACATGTCCCAGATGACTTTTCTGTGGGTCACTTTTACTATCAGGTTTCGTAATCACTGCATGTACACTTTTACTTTTAATATACAATACCTGTATATGCTTGCTTCTTAAATGATTCAGAATACCTCTGCTAGGTAGTTTAATAATCCTGGCTTATTGATGGTTGCTGACTGGTAAAATTCCTTGTTATATTTTTCAGTATTTAAGTGGGTAGCATTAAGCAGTCTTAATCTTTTAATACCAGCTACTGGACTGGTAAGGTGTGTCTCAGTTTTATTGGCTCCCTTGGCACCTACAGTACATTTTTTAAGGCAGTAGTAGTATTTGAATATGTGGTATAGCATTGGTATGGAATTTTCTATACAAAACTCTTGACTAAAGGTTGAAAAAGCAGCAGAACCTACTAAATGTTAAGTTGTATTATGCACAGTTACTGGTTTTGCTGTATCTTAATACCTGTTTTGCTCAATAAGTATTCCTATTTGTAAAGTAGTGAATTCATACATGTTGGCAGGGATAGGATTAGCAAGAGGATTATTATTAAGGATAATCAAGGATGAAAGCAGGTTCAAGAGAAGATTTTCCTTCCTTTATTATCTTTGGTGATTGCCTTTTTACTCAGGTAGCCGTGGGTCAGCGAACTTAATGCTTCAGAGAGCTTTGAACCCAGATACGACATTTGAATTCAGTTGTTGTAAATTCAGATAGACAAGTTGGACAGGTATTATCATTATTGGCTAGACAGGAAATCTGAAGCTCAGAACTACTTCTGTTTGTCCAGTTCACACTGAATTCAAGTCTTTTATTGTTAAATGTTTCTGTCCTTTCAATGTGCCTATGCTAGATTAAAACAGAAGAATCAGTATACATTTGCTTTGTTAAATTAATACATAGTTTTGTTGCCAGTAGGCTACATACATTCCCCTGAAATGTATGTGCTTATGGAAGAAGGAATCTTTTTTTTGAGACAGGGTCTCACTGGGTCACCCAGGCTAGAGGGCAGTGGCACGATCATGGCTCACTGCAGCCTTTACCTCCCGGGCTCAAATCATGCTCTGGCCCAGCCTCCTGAGTAAGTGGACTGCAGGCACGTGTGCCGCCACACCCCACTACTACAGGCACATGTGCCGCCACACCCCACTAGTTTTTGTCTCCTTGGAGAGACAGGGTCTTGCTTTGTGCCCATGCTGGGCTCAAACGATCCTCCTGCCTCGGCCTCCCAAAGTGCTGGGACTTACAGGTTTGAGCCACCACACCTGGCCCTAGACTTTTAAAATGCTATCAAAGTAATCAGAAGAGCCAATTGTGTTAGCTCACACCAGTAATCCCAGCAGTTTGAGAGGCCAAGGTGGAAGGATCGTTTGAGCCCAGTTCAAGATTAGCCTGGGCAACACAGCAAGACTTTGTTTCTCCAAAAAGACAAAAAATTAGCTGGGCATGGTGGCGCACACCTGTAGTCCCAGCTACTTGGGAGGCTGAGGCAGGAGGAGTTTGAGGCTGCAGTGAGCCACAATCCCACCACTGCACTCCAGCCTTGGCAGCAGAGCAAGAACTTATTTTCTTTTTTTTTTTTTTTTTTTTGAGACAGAGGCTTGCTCGGTCACCCAGACTGGAGTGCAACGGCTCTGTCTGGGCTCACTGCAACCTCTGCCTCCTGGGTTGAAATGATTCTCCTGCCTCAGCCTCTCAAGCAGCTGGGATTACAGACACCCGCCATCATGCCCAGCTAATTTTTGTAGAGATGGGGTTTCACCATGTTGGCCAGGCTGGTCTCAAGTGATCCGCCTGCCTTGGCCTCCCAAAGTGCTGGGATTATAGGCGTGAGCCACCACGCCTGGCCAAGAACTTATCTTTACAAAAAAAAGTTTATGCAGTTTTTACGTGTTTATTGTAGAAAACTAAAACCAAATGTAAACCAAAGTACAGTTGTTCCTCCTTGTCTGGGGAATTGGTTCCAGGACTCCACACTCCTGTGGATACCAAAATTTGAAAATGCTCAAGTGCCAGAAATGTAAAATGACCCATAATATTTACCTGTAAAAATTATTTACAGTATCTAATACACTGTGAGTGCTATATAAGCAGTTGTTATACTGAATTGTTTAGATAATAATGACAGGGAAAAGCCTGTACGTGTTCAGTACAGATGCAGTTTTCTCTTTTAAATTTTCAGTTTATAGTTGGTTGAATCCACAGACGTGGAAACCATGAATAAGAAGGGCTAACTGTACTCAGTTTCTGCTACCAGAGAATTTTTAGTGCATGGTATTCATTTTTTTTCTTGCATTTCCTATTTTCGTAAGTCTTAAGTTTGAAATACCAGCTTGCTCAATTAAAGCAGCCTTTGCTTCAGCAGCATTATTTTGTTTTCACTAGAATTATATGAAGATAAAAACAAGCTGGGAAAAACTTAGATGGAGTTTGAAAAATAAGATGAGGAAAATACAGATAGTGATCTTTGTAGTCATTCTCATAAATGAAGCTTTTAAATACATGAATTTAACTTTAGGGTCAGCCCTACTGCACAGCTCCTTGCTGTGAAAAGTTAGCCCTGGGAGTAGAATTCTCCAAATTGGGTCTTTGGAATAATACAATGAGTAATTGAGTATTATCCAGTTTTGGATCTAACTCTTGTACTTAAAAGACTTCAGAGCTAATCATTTGATATATTTCATTTATTTCATTTAGATCTATGAGAGATTACATGCGTTTCTGTGATTTATTAGTTACTAATTTTGTTTTACCATATCTGTCATTGAAACTATAGATAATTAGAATTATGTATATTTAATAACTTAACTTTTCTGACCACCCCACCCCAACTCCATTCCCTTTGTTTTATGTGTCTGTTGACTTACAGTGCCCCTTGAACAGCGTATCAGTGCTTCAGCTCTCGATCTGTGTGGTGACTTAGATGAGGTCGGAATAGATGAGATATTTTTCTCTTTCACCCCACCTCTTAGACAGTAGCATTTGGTTCTTATATCTTACGTATATTTTCCACACATTGCTGTTTTGGTTTTGGTTTTGTTTTTAAAGATGGAGTCTTGCTGTGTCGCCAGGCTGGAGTACAGTGGCTCGACCTCGGCTCACTGCAACCTCTGCCTCCCAGGTTCAAGAGATTCTCCTGCCTCAGCCTCCTGAGTAGCTGGGACTACAGGCACGCACTACCATGCCCGTCTAATTTTTGTATTTTTAGTAGAGACGAGGTTTCACCGTGTTGGCTAGGATGGTCTCAATCTCTTGACCTCGTGATCCGCCCACCTCGGCCTCCCCAAAGTGCTGGGATGACAGGCGTGAGCCACAGCGCCCAACCTGAAAATTTATTTTTAAAGAATTTGTTATCTGGGTATGGTGGCTCACGCCTGTCATCCCAGCACTTTAGGAGGCCGAAGAGGGCAGATCACCTGAGGTCAGGTGTTTGAGACCAGCCTGGCCAACATGGAGAAACCCCCATCCCGTCTCTACTAAAAATAAAAAAATTAGCTGGGCGTGGTGGTGTATACCTGTACTCTCAGCTACTCAAGAGGCTGAGGCAGGAGGATCGTGTGAACCCAGGAGGCAGAGGTTGTAGTGAGCCAAGATCGCACCACTGCGCTCCATACTGGCAACAGAGCAAGACTCCATCTCGGGGAAAAATTTTTTAAAAAAAGAAAGAATTTATTTATTCTTTATAAAGATTCTAAACTATTACTGTGATGACTACTATGTAGTATCACATGTAATAGTGGTAATGAGTTTTCTTCTGAGATTAATTGCAGAGCTTGTCTTTCGCATGGGTCCAATATTTTACTTTTCAGTGTGTTTTATTTGTGCAGGACAATTTGCCCTTCAGTTATCATACCAAAACAATATAAATCCTCAACTCCTTTGAGTTTGTTAAAGATTACTATGATAATACAATGTCTGCCAAACTAAGCATATGAATTCATGCCCACACATGGGTTTGGTGTTCCAAATAGTTAAATCCTGTATTGATTGATGTGTTTAGGGAACAAGGTTGAACAAAAGATCTTGTAACCGATTAGAACATTTAGCTCTCTTTTTTAGTCAATAACCCTTTACTTGAAACACAGCAGAAGATATTATTAACATCTGCCTAAATTTTTTCATTGCCACATATGGAAGTAAGTGACCCCACTGTCACTGTCCCATGTTTTCTTGTGAAGAGCTAAATTGCCACTACCCAACTGTGACACTGCAGGGTAGTGTGGACCAACTCCTGCAGGCAAATCAGAAAAAAAGCCAGGATAGTAAGAAAGGAACCTAGAAGAACCTTAATTGGAAATTTAAAAAACAAAGGTCAAAGACCCTGCTTTTTATTAATGTATTTCTGTTCATGCTTTTCAGGGGGTGAAGCCAGCCAGTTTTGACAAAGTAGCAATTCCTGAAGTGAAGGAAATTATTGAAGGATGCATACGACAAAACAAAGATGAAAGGTAAGTTGCCTCTTTTGACCTGAGTGATACTTGAACAAAACCTAAAAAGTAATGTGCTTTGAGTACAACACTCATTCTTCGGTGTATTTAATATTTGTGATTGGTTTCTCTGTTTGTGCCTGTAACATTTTTAAAGATAGGGTTTTGTTCATTATGGTTACACAGATGTGATATACTGGAACACTGTAAAAATATGGTTTGGTAGAGTTTCAGTAAACCAGAACCACCGTAAACATAGCTACATTCCATGAGAACTACTTACTTAAAACATCAGCATGATTTGTGAAACTCAAAAAAGAGTTTAGTATCTAACACAGGAAATCTTTCCTTAGTCCTTTACCATTGAATTCTAAATGGTGAAATAAAACCTTGGCTCTTTAAAGTCAACTCAACTATTATAGGTCTGATTTGCTGTCCTTATGTCGGAATTGAAGAAGAGCAAAACACAAAAATTCCTAAGTAAAAAGAGAAGACTTCACCCAGGGGTTAGAAAGAGATGTGGCTTTGTCATTTGTACTAACAGAGGAGTTTTCTTAGAGGAGTAGCAAGTATCTGATCTCCCATATAGCTGATTCATCACCCGTTAGGCATGGTGAAGGTCCAGTGTCTGCTTTTGGAAAATAGTCTATCTTTGCCACCCACTTTCATCCTCCAAAAAAGAAAAAGGAGACCAGCTAGTACAATATAAACTGCAAATTGAGCATAATCAACCACCTGAAGAATGAGAGCAACCAGATATATCAACCAAATTAAAGAATTCCATCATTTCACCTCTCCAGTCTCGTTCTTTTTATAACATCATTATTTAGGAGAGCTTAACTTCATGGTTTTTAAGGCTTTATTAAGTAAAAATTTAGTTTGAGTTTTCATTTGTATATATGCTGGGTCATTAAATCTCTTCAAGAACTTTTTTTTTTTTTTTTTTACTATAAACAAAGGAATGTTTGTTTCAACTCTTTTTTTTTTTTTTTTGACATAGTCTTGTTCTGTCGCCTAGGCTGGAGTACAGTGGCACGGTCTCAGCTCACTGCAACCTCTGCCTCCCGGGTTCAAGTAATTCTCCTGTCTCAGCCTCCTGAGTAGCTGGAACTATAGGCGCACATCACCACGCCCGGCTAATTTTTGTATTTTTAGTAGAGACGGGGTTTCACCATATTGGTCAGGCAGGTCGCGGACTCCTGACCTGAGGTGAACCATCCACCTTGGCCTCCCAAAGTACTGGGATTGCAGGTGTGAGTCACTGCACCCAGCCTGTTTCAACTCTTGATGGAGCAGCTTATTAGATTATTGGCATACTGAAATCATTTTATCTTAAGACTGTTTCGCAATCAGACTTCTGCTTGCCCAGTACACAAATTATTGAACAAGGATTAAGAGAACTTATTGGTGTAAATAAAGCTTACTGTGTTAGAAGGTACCAAACTAGAAACAAAAATATTTATTTTCTAGTTTTTATTTCAGCATTTACACCTTTTATAACTGTGAGCAAGATTCTCAACCTTTCTGCGCCTCCATTTCCCAATAATCAGGAGATGATATTGAATTAGGTGTTGGTCAACAAGATCATAAATTTGAAGATTTATGTTACTTATAAAATGCTATATAAATGATCATGTGGTATTTTGAAGCTTTAATAGAGCCAATTGTGTTAGCTCACCATTACTAGTATACTATTACTAAAGAGATCATTGAATTTAAAAATTATCACTATCAGTTCTTATTCATGAATGAGATTGTTATGATGTTTTATAACTTGAGAGTAAACCTCTGTAGTTACCATTCAAATGCAGCAATGTAAAAATGAGTTATAAACTTTCCCATTTATTTTTTCCCATTTTTTTTCTTCTGTGAATAACAATAATTGGCCACATTTGAAAATTATTTTTTCAAACTAATGGTGTTTTATTTTTGTTCCTTTTCTTTCCCCTCTGTTTGGAAGATATTCCATCAAAGACCTTTTGAATCATGCCTTCTTCCAAGAGGAAACAGGAGTACGGGTAGAATTAGCAGAAGAAGACGATGGAGAAAAAATAGCCATAAAATTATGGCTACGTATTGAAGATATTAAGAAATTAAAGGGAAAATACAAAGACAATGAAGCTATTGAGTTTTCTTTTGATTTAGAGAGAGATGTCCCAGAAGATGTTGCTCAAGAAATGGTAAATTGACATTAACTAGCCATTTAAAAATTGATCTAGACTTATATACATCGATACTATTATTAAGCAAAAAAGCAGTTGATGAAGTGCTGTGTGTGACATATCCCATTGACAGAAAATTGTGATGGCCCTAAAAGTTATCTTTGATTAGTGGGATTTTCCAGTGTGTGTTTTTTATTTTTTTAACTCCCTTCTTTGTATTGCTTTTATAATGGGTGTTAGATTTTATAGTCTTTTTTAAAAGTAAATTTTTTTTTTTGAGGGAGAGAGAGACAGGGTCTTGCTCTGTCACCAGGCTGGAGTGCAGTGGCCTGATAATCACAGCTTACTGCAGCCTTAAACTCCTGAACTCAAGCAGTCTTTCTGCCTCAGCCTCCCGGGAAGCTGGGACCATAGGGACGTGCCACTACGCCTGACTAGTTTTTGTATTTTTAGTATAGGCAGGCGTGATCCTCCCACCTCAGCCTCCCAAAGTGCTGGGAGTACAGGTGTGAGCCACTTCGCCTGGCCAAAAGTTATTTTTGAGAAAATATGTAGAGAGAGATATATATACATAGGGATAGATGGATGAGATAGATAGGTAGAACTAGTAGAATGCATTCCAAAGTCATTTTGAAAAGTCTGTAAGATTGAGTGACTCCCAGTTTATATAAGCATCATTCATTTAGAATGACAAGTTACGTTTCTACATATTGGTGCATTTGCCTTTGATCAGTTATCTGGATGAACCCTATAAACAGACATAGGACCATGAATTGTTTTTACTTTGAAGAGAGTTTTCCTGATCAAATATTAGTAGGAAGCCTTTGATGTATTATTATTTGAAGTATGTCTAAAAGATCACTCTTCCATAAGGAAACCCTTCCCCAAATTTATGCTTGCCATAGTGCCCAAAATAGCTAATTATTATGGAAAGATAACTCAGAATATCTCTACTCAGATTTATAAGAACCATTCAAAAGTGGTAGTTGCCTCTGGGAAGAGATCAGGTATGAGTTACTTGTGTTTAACTGTTAGTTGTTTGTATTATCTGAGCTTTTTGGCTTTTTTGGAGGGGAGGAGGAGTGTTAAATCTTCATATTCGTACCACAGTTGTTTTATCAGATTAAGTGGTTGCCTTGTAAAAGAAAGTAAAATCAACACAGGTTAATGTTAATTGTTACAAGTGAGGGGGAAATACAGTGAATAGAACAGAGCACCTTACTTGGTTTAGGAACTGAGGTTTTAGTTGCCCCATTGTTTTGTTGTTTGTTATAAGGAGTGAAGGTATACCTACCCTTCGAGTTTCTGCAAAAATGGTGGTACCCACTCCTCAAGTATCTACAAAGATGGTAGGGAAATGCATAATGCAGACCAGGAATTTTACAGTTCGGTTAAGGCCAGTCCTGAGAGAATTCTTTGTTCCTCCTCTTCTCGACTTTTTTACAATGCCTTTTTTTGGGCGGTGGGGGGGCGAATGGGCGGGTGTTGTTTTCTTTCAGTATTCTAGTGCTTAATATACCCTTTTATTCTGTAGGTAGAGTCTGGGTATGTCTGTGAAGGTGATCACAAGACCATGGCTAAAGCTATCAAAGACAGAGTATCATTAATTAAGAGAAAACGAGAGCAGCGGCAGTTGGTACGGGAGGAGCAAGAAAAAAAAAAGCAGGAAGAGAGCAGTCTCAAACAGCAGGTAGAACAATCAAATGCTTCCCAGACAGGAATCAAGCAGCTCCCTTCTGCTAGCACCGGCATACCTACTGCTTCTACCACTTCAGCTTCAGTTTCTACACAAGTAGAACCTGAAGAACCCGAGGCAGATCAACATCAACAGCTACAGTACCAGCAACCCAGTATATCTGTGTTATGTACGTATCTTGGGAAGTGGACAGATGGGCTAATGATTCTCCTAATTGGTTTTTTTAGCTTCTTGTTATTTTGCATTGGCTTCTTGGTTTTGAATTATGAATCCTACTATTATACAAAATTTGAAATGGTTGTTGTCTAGCTTCTCTTGATTCTTGTATCTGTGACTAGGAGAATAGAAGGATGGGGTGGTAAGGAAATGTGATTAGGGTACAAAATAATTTTATAAACTCCAACATCCTGGAGGTTTCAATTCGTAGATTTCTACTTTTCACAATTTATTTAAATAAAATGGAATTAATAATGAAGAATGAAGCGGCTTGGCTACTAAAATTGAACCCATCAGTCTGGTTGAGCTCTTTTAGCAAAGCTGAGTGGTGTATAGACTAAAAACTAATGAGAACACTGGTTATTAATTTAATTACCTGCTTAACACTGAGAACCTTCTGGCCTCCATACTTTGAAAGCTGTGTCAAATTTAAGACTTATAGTGTTCCATGTTGTTTCCCTTAGTCTTCAGGTGATAAGATTCTGTGATAGCCATATGGATTCCTCATTTAAATATAGAAATCTAAGGAATATGGCTGTAATTCATTTTTTATTTAGTTCAAATCTGTGCAAAGAATAACTAGTTACCCCTAATATAATGGGTCTAAAATATGAGAAAATGTGAACCTCCGTTTTGTGATTTGTCTTTCTCTCTCTTTTTCCTTTTTTTTTTTTTTTTTTTTTTGGGTGATTCATTTTTCCTTCAGCTGATGGGACGGTTGACAGTGGTCAGGGATCCTCTGTCTTCACAGAATCTCGTGTGAGCAGCCAGCAGACAGTTTCATATGGTTCCCAACATGAGCAGGCACATTCTGCAGGCACAGTCCCAGGGCATGTACCTTCTGCTGTCCAAGCACAATCTCAGCCCCATGGGGTATATCCACCCTCAAGTGTGGTAAGTAAATGCTTAAGGGAATGTCATACTACAGTGAGGGCCCATGGATAGTCTGCTAAATTAAAATTCTTTGTACAAACCAAGTAGCAGTATGAGTCTGAAGTAGAAAATATAAAATGCTGTATCTTTAAAGGCTTATTCTAGAGTATAATTAGAGTAGTCCTGGTAGAGTAGGATATAGACATTAATGTGTGGGCAGTAGCTGAACTGCCTACATGAAGCAACTACATACAAGATTTAGACTAGTCTGCATTTTTACTGAAGGTAATGCTCTCTTTAGCACTTGAGTTGAAACTATTCACAGCAGTAAAAGCTGGACGTACAAATGTTTTGCGGGTGGGGCAAGGAGAGTTTTTCAAAAGCTTGTTAAAATAATTACTAAGTATTTCCTGTAAGATTCCGTATTGTACAAAACACAGGTAAGACCTTCAAACCATTATAGAATGCTGCATGTGGGTACTCTAGATTGAGGGAATCCTTTATTTGAATGACTGTTTAATTTAGCGCTTGTGTTGAGTTAATCATCAGTTGCTGTGTGTGTTCCTGCCTTTTAAAGTCTGTGTTGGACACAAGTTCTTTCCCTAGTATATGTTCTTTTGCTTTTTCCCTTTAGTTGGTAACTGTTTTATTACTGATTTCAGAATCAACTTACGGAAATTATTTCCTGAAACATTTTATGCTTGTACACACAGACACACACACACACACACACACACACAATTATCCTATGTTTTACATTAGGCACTCTTGCTTCTCATATAGAGAATGTTAAAGTAGATCATCAGATAATACCCCATTTCTTCTGTTGACCTCAGAGGAAAATAAAATACGTCATCTGCCTCTGAAAGGTACTAGAAAATAAGTAACTTGTCACCGTATAGCACTTGTTTAGTGAGATCTTTAAGCAGACAGATTTCCCCCTCCTTCTCAGAAAGCTTTTAATCTAAACTTTGTGGAATTCTTGCCCTTCTTTAAATGAAAATCTTTGTTAAGAAAATACTTCTGCTTGTTCTGATTTTTTTATCCTACAGCTTGGAATAAAAGATGTTCATTTGTTTCAGAGTCCATTTAATCCTGCTTTGGCTAGGTCTCAAGATGAATGGCCACAATAACACAAATAAAAAACAACTAATGTACTAATTTTTTTTTAACAATCTACTTTCTCTCTTTAAAATAATTAAGTGAGGGTAGGATAGAAGGACTTTATAAAGGCTGCACAGAAAATATATTTTTGTGTTCTGACAAATATTACTTGTCAGCATTTCTTGTCAGTTTCTACTTTTAATTGATTTTTTTCTGGATTATTATAACTAGATTTTGCTAAAACTCTTGTTTTTTAAAATTTTCTCTTGTCTATACTCATCATGGGGGAGCATTAGTTCTCTGTTTTAGAAAGCAAGTAGAATGACATGAAGATACTAAGTATTTGAGCCACTAATACAGCCATGTTTATTGATGCTCTAAAAGCAGACGTTCTTGCTTTTTAATGACAGTATTCTATGGAGGTATTATGAAGACTTATTAAATATTGAGAATTTAAAAATTTGTCTAATTCTATTCTTGTCTCATTTCAGGAATGTGGCTTACAATAATATAGACAAATTATAAGTGAAATTTTAGAAATTAGAATAAAAGAAATAAGGCTGGAGAGAAATTAAAACAGGAGTGAACTAAATAATCATATGATTTTTAAATCCTTGCTATTGGTGGGCCACAGATTTGACCCAAAGCATTCTACACAGCCAAGTTTTGGAAATGAAAACATAGTTTTCATAGTTCACAACATCTAAAAGGAAAATAACAGTCTTATTCAAGACAACCTTTATAGTATTGCTCATACTGCCTTATAACTGTATTAAACCCTGTGCCTGAAAATTTTTTTAAGTTATTCTTTTTTTTTTTTTTTGACAGAGTCTCATTCTGTCTCCCAGGTGGGAATACAGTGGCATGATCTTGGCTCACTGCAACTTCCACCTCCTGGGCTCAAGCGATTCGCCTGCCTCAGCCTCCCCAATAGCTAAGATTACAGGCACCCGTCACCATGCCCAGCTAATTTTTGTATTTTTTTATTAGAGACCCAATTTCACCGTGTTGGCTAGACTGGTCTCGAACTCCTGACCTCAGGTGATCCACCTGCCTCGGCCTCCCAAAGTGCCAGGATTTACAGGTGTGAGCCACCACGCCCAGCCTAAATTATTCTTCAGAGATCCAGATTGAAGATATTCTCCCATTGATTACTTTGTAAAAGTACAAAATATTTTCTATATCCAGTTGTGAATTTCTTCTAGAAAGCCAAACTTTTTCCTAGCAGTAGATCATGACTTTTTACCTTTACAAATTAAGAGTGGCAAGTATAAGAAATACTGTGAACCAGCAACTTTCCATCTCATGTCTTCTAAAATAGAAATGAGAGTCTTTTTCTGAGGTTTCCAGAGCTCTCGCAAAATAATCCAATCTTAAAATTCTCTGTATCTTTTAATGTACTTTAAACTAATAGAATTCATTCTTGTTGAATCTTAAGTTTGCCAAAGTTGCAAGCTAATATTGATTGCTTTCCCTGTCTGCACCCTTCAGTCAGCTGGTCATTCTTAAATTCATACACTCATAACACTTGGTGTTATTTCAGAATATTTAGCATGATAATTGATCATTATCATGATCATTCATTTAAAAAACCTGTACTTGACTGACAACCTAGAATAGTTGTGAATAGTTGTGATCTGTCAGATGTGCTATGTTGAGTTATAGCTCTCCTCAAAAAAAAACTGACTTTGTGGAATTGGGAGAGGATGGAACATTTCTTTAGGCAACTATGCCCTGTTATCATTGTACTTTTGTTTATTTTGTTTTCAGAGTACTGTGTTTTCATGTGTGTGTTTGTTTTCTGTTTAGCCTCGTCGTGGCCGTAGCATGTCGGTTTGTGTTCCCCATCTTTCTGCTGTTCCCTCTCTGTCCCGCATCTCTCCCAGTGCTCCTTCCACCCCACCACCAGTGCTGTCTGCACCTCTTTCTCCTTCCCTCCTTCGGACTGCCCCTGAGGAAACTTTTGCCGAAAAGCTTTCTAAAGCATTGGAGAGTGTCCTGCCTATGCACTCTGCCTCTCAGCGCAAGCACCGACGCTCCAGCCTGCCTTCCCTCTTTGTCAGTACTGTATGTAACTGTAAACTTCTGACAAATGAACAATTATTACCAATGAATACATCCAGGCAACAAGAATTTTAATTAAAATTGAATAAAGAACAGGACTAAACTCAGTTATATTATGCTTCTAGGATACCAGTTATTCCTATAGGAAACTTTTTTTGTAATGAGGCTCTAAGGGGGAGTAAAAAGCAAGGAGGTAATGAGAGAGAATACTTATAATGTCCTTGGCACATACCAGCATGTGTCCAATAAAATTTACCTTTTATTATATCTTCCTATTTCCTATCAACATAAAATTCTTTCATTTTCATATTCTAGTTTTAAAAGTATTACTTAATTTTAAAGTTATTGCCTTAATCGAAAGCAAATTTTATCAAACATTACCCAAACATTTTTTCTCCTCACTTTATTCTAAGGAGACACTAATGAAACTGGATGAGTCCTTTTTTTTTTTTTAATAACCTTAGTCAGCAAAGGATAACCTTGGAGTGAACATTTATGTTAATTTAATCATTTATGTAAGATGATGTGTCAGCAAACCAAAGGGCTACATAATGTTCCCCCATGGGAGTATTTTTTCCTTAGGTTTCAACCTAAGGTGGGACTGTAGCTCTTTGTGTGACTTTCTTTGGCTACATTAATGTTTATAAAAGATATATTTCTTAAAATTATTTTAAGCATGTGGGTTCTTGCTGCTGCTTTTCCAAATAAAGAGTATAGTTAACTTTCTGACTAGCAACCCTAGAATTTTCTGATTTTTACTTAGGAGAATGAAGAACTGTACAGTATTATGGCTTTGAGACATACCATGAGTAAATAACAATAAAATGAGCATTCTTATTGAAAATAGAAATCCTCTTTTAGCTATTGTGAACAGTTGATCTACTTTGCCAGCTTGATAAGGATCTTTCCTATGGAAGAATGAAACTGAATTATTTTAAAAGGGGGAGTCTGTGATAGTAAATTATTTGCTTATTTATTTATTTATTGGAGGTGGAATCTTGCTCTGTTGCCAGGCTGCAGTGCAGTGGCATGCTCTCGACTCACGGCAACCTCTGCCTCCCGGGTTCGAGTGATTCTCCTGCCTCAGCCTCCCGAGTAGCTCGGACTACAGGCGCATGCCCCCACACCCAGCTAATTTTTGCATTTTAGTAGAGACAGGTTTCACCATGTTTGGCCAGGATGGTCTCGATCTCCTGACCTTGTGATCCACCCCCTTCAGCCTCCCACAGTGCTGGGATTATAGGCGTGAGCCATCGCTCCCAGCCGATAGTGATTTATTATAGTGTATATTGTTTGCATTTGGCAAGCTATGTTTCTAAATTTAGTCTTAAATCTAGAACTGCTTCTTGAATAAAAAGTGCTGTCAAATAAAATTGGCTGTCATTTATATTACCCTTGTCAGTTGATTTGAATACCAGGATGTCAGAATCAGAAAATTCATGGTTACAGCCGGGCTTGGTGGCTCATGCCTCTAATCCTAGCACTTTGGGAGGCCGAAGTGAGCAGATCACCTGAGGTCAGGAGTTTGAGACCAGCCTGGCCAACATGGCAAAGCACGTCTCTACTAAAAATACAAAAATTAGCTGGACGTGGTGGCACACGTGTGTAGTCCCAGCTATTTGGGAGGCTGAGGCAGGAGAATCCCTTGAACCCAGGAGGCGGAGGTTGCAATGAGCCAAGATTGTGTCGCTGCACTCCAGCCTGGGCGACAGAGCAAGACTCTATCTCAAAAAAAGAAAAAAGAAATTTCATGGTTATGCAACTCTTATTTAGGATCAGAAAAGTGGACATTTTGTGATTTAACTCTGTAACATGTTTCGTGTAGTAAAAATATAGTAAAACTATTAATCATCTAGTTTGGGATAAATAGGAGAAAGACATTACTGTCACTAGTCAAATTATATATCTTTTACTATCTACCAAAAATCTCTTCTGATTTCTAGTTAGAAGGCATACTATTAATTGATAAGAAAATAACACTGAAGGCCTCTAACATATCACAGTATAATAAGTATATAGGGCAAGTTAGTTCACTTTAAATTAAATTAAGTTAAATTAAATTAAAGCACACTTCTTACAGTATAGAACTAGTCGGGCTTTTATGCCTTGTTTTAGTTCTTATTCTTTGACTCTTTTTCTGTTGATATAATTTACATTAATGCTTAAGAGTAAACTTTAAGTGTGGGTAAAAACGAAATAATTACTTACAAAGCTTAATTCTTCATTTCCTTTGAGAGAGAAAAGTTATGGAAAAGCAGCTCTTATCTAAAGCAAAGAGCCCACAGATTGATTTCATTGGCCCTGGATGTATTTAATGGGTTTTTACTGTGCACATAATTTCCAGAAGCATTGTTATTTATTTATTAATTATAAATTTGGTGTAACCATTTCATAGGGTTACACAAAACTACCCAGTTGTGCATGTCTGATGTAATTTCACATATGAATGTATGAATTACTTGTCTTATTCATGTTGATACAGCCTCAGTCCATGGCGCATCCGTGTGGGGGGACCCCAACATACCCAGAATCACAGATATTTTTCCCAACTATTCATGAACGTCCAGTTTCTTTCTCACCACCTCCCACCTGCCCACCGAAAGTAGCCATTTCCCAGCGGCGTAAGAGCACCTCCTTCCTGGAAGCCCAAACTCACCACCTCCCACCCCTGCTGAGGACTGTCGGCCAGAGTCTTCTTCCGCCTGGGGGCAGCCCAACTCACTGGACACCAGAGGCTGTAGTTATGCTGGGTACTACAGCCAGTAGAGTAACTGGAGAGTCATGTGAGATACAGGTCCATCCTATGTGTGAACCATCTCAAGTTTACAGTGATTATAGACCTGGACTAGTACTTCCAGAAGAAGCTCACTATTTTATTCCTCAGGAAGCAGTGTATCTAGCTGGGGTACATTACCAGGCCCGGGTGGCAGAACAGTATGAGGGCATTCCATACAACTCATCAGTACTGTCAAGTCCTATGAAACAGATACCTGAACAGAAGCCAGTACAAGGGGGCCCTACTTCAAGTTCTGTCTTTGAATTTCCATCTGGACAGGCTTTCCTGGTAGGACACCTTCAGAATCTAAGATTAGATTCTGGATTGAGTCCAGGATCTCCCCTCTCTAGTATTTCTGCACCTATCAGTACAGATGCTACACGTTTGAAATTTCACCCTGTCTTTGTTCCTCATTCTGCGCCCGCTGTGTTAACTCATAACAATGAGAGCAGAAGCAACTGTGTATTTGAATTTCATGTTCACACACCAAGCTCCTCTTCAGGAGAAGGAGGTGGAATTTTACCTCAGCGTGTTTACCGAAATCGGCAGGTTGCAGTGGACTTGAATCAAGAAGAACTGCCTCCTCAATCAGTTGGATTACATGGCTACCTGCAGCCTGTGACTGAAGAAAAGCATAATTACCATGCCCCAGAATTGACCGTTTCTGTGGTAGAGCCTATCGGACAGAACTGGCCAATAGGAAGCCCAGAATATTCCAGTGATTCCTCACAAATCACTTCTTCAGACCCCAGTGATTTTCAGTCACCTCCCCCTACAGGGGGAGCAGCTGCATCTTTTGGCTCTGACGTCTCATTACCCTTTATCCATCTGCCTCAGACAGTGTTACAAGAATCCCCACTTTTCTTCTGTTTCCCCCAAGGAACCACATCTCAGCAGGTCTTAACTGCCTCATTTTCTTCAGGAGGATCTGCACTTCATCCACAGGTTATAGGAAAACTTCCACAATTATTTTAAACTACCCTACTTTGCACCACAACATTTAAATTTTCTATTCCTCATTTCCCTGAATCATGGATTTTTGAGAAATATTGTTTAATTTTATCAGTAGAATTTCCCCATCTTTGGAGGGTTGTGAACTACATATATGTATTTAAAAACAAAATATGAGAGAAGCTACCTGATTTACCTATTATATGTGAAAACTGGTGGAAAAAAGAACGCAAAAACTAGAATTTTAGTCATTCATCAAAATCAATGACTTCTATCCCTATGCACATTATTTTCAACCAGTAGTGAAAATGCAAGTGTATATATTGTATGGTTGACCCAGCATTATTTAGGAATACAAATCTTAAATATTACTTTCTTCCTCCAAACAAGTTTTTAAAAAATAGGGTAAATTTTTTTTTCTGTAAAATATAAAAAAAAGGAAAATAGGGAATGCTTTTTTTGTAGTAGTAGTAATAATACACAGAATTTTCATTAGTGTAGAAGGATCTAAAAAGACAAAATATATCTTACGGGAACAAAAAAAGATAGAAAAGGAAACAGTTTAGGAATTTGCCTTAAATGAAAATGCCTTTTTAAAATGGCATCAGTCAAGCAAGTTGCTGTGTATTATTATATGTCCAAATAAAATGCTAATTCATAAAATTAAGGACTGATTCTAATTTCTAGCAACTAACAATCTAGTGGGTGGTGGGCTTTTTTTTGTTATAAGAATTTGTGATATGTTGCAAGCTAAGGAACAGTAGACATCTCAGGCCTTGTATTTTCCTCAACAAATTTGATTTTAGTTATTTATGTGTATGAGCATATACACACTTAGCATATAAAGACAATGTAATGAATGTAATAGAATTCAAAAGTACAGTCAGTGTTTACTGTTTCATATATTCATTTGGTATATTTTATCAAATGTGTACATCTTGTAAAATCCACGTAGAAGACTATGCAGTTATATATTGAAGACATTTGGATATCCTACATATTCTACTCTTTTAAAAAGTACTATGTGTTGTTCTTCCTACTTTCTTCCTATGTTCTTCCCTTATCAGGAGCATAAACAACTCCCAAAATTACACAAATTATCAATTATTTAGAGTTGTACTAAGACACAAAAAGATCCAGAAGCTTGAAAACTATACATGGGCACATCAGTATTCAAGTTGCAGCCCCTATTATAAATATTAATGTATTGCCAGTAATTATCCTTTAGACTTTCCAAAGTAAAAAATACCAGGTGGTTAATGTATAGACATACTACAGAAGGAATCAATGCTTACAATAGTTAAGCTGCAGTGGAATGTGATATTATATCCATGTAAGCTTTAAGGAACCCCTTCTAAACTGAAATGGAATGACAAAAGTGGTAGCCTTTTCATTTCTTTAACGTACCTATATATAGTCCTGCATTCATTTCTCACTTTCTCATTTGTTTTAATTTGGACTTCTCAATAATCAGAACGCTCTAGTTGGGGTTTCTCAGACTCAACGCTGTTGACATCTGAGGTTGGATAATTCTTTGTTGTGGTGGACTGTTCTATGTATTGTAGGATATTTAGCAACATCCTTGGTTTATACCTCCTAAATACTAGTAGCAGCCATCTCCCTCACTTGTGACAACCAGAAGTGTCTCCACATATTGCCCAGTGCCCCCCTGGGGGTGGCACTGTTGCTCCTGGATAGCAATGATCATCCTAGGTATTTAGCAGTTGATGATGATAACAGATTTTTTGATACTTTTGATAAAAGTCATTGTGGCACTACAAGAAGTATTACCAAATTAGCATTACCAAATACCTTTCTTTAATTTTTCAGCTAAATTTCAGATTGATAGTATTAACACTTTGTTCCTGATTATTGTATTTCTAATAACAAATTTTATTATGAATCTGACTATTCTAGCCAGCTAAAATTACAGCCTGAGCAGCATTGACAGCTTAGGTTTTCACTATCAGTGGGTTTTGCATGGGTTGGGATTAGAACATGTTGTGTGATATGATCCTTCTCTAAATTTTTCTTACAAAAGATGACCCCGAGGCCTCTCCCATACATGATCAGGTTAATGTTTCATTTTGATCAAGCAAACTCTGAGGAGATTAAATATTCATTGCAAAAGCCTGACCTCTATACACTTACTTTAAGCCTTCTCTAATTTGTTGTGTTCACTTCTTTCCTTCAGGCACAGGGGCAGAGCCAGGGTCAGCCATCCTCAAGTAGCTTAACAGGGGTTTCATCTTCCCAACCCATACAACATCCTCAGCAGGTGAGAACAATGCATTGCAACATTTTATGGATTAGCAGTGGCCAGAACACTATTTTAACATTTGTGATTCGTGATATAAATGGCCTGCTAAGGAAAATTAAGAGGCATACCATGTCTTGTGTTCAGTAACAAAGAAAAGAGATTTTTTCTGAAACACATTTTCTGTGTTTCACTGAAACAGAAAATGTGTTTCAGAAAAAAATCTCTTTTTTTTCTTTAATGTGCTTTCGAACAATTTAGTAGACATACATTATTACTGATATAATTGTCTTTTTTTAAAAGAGGATTCTACACTGTTTTTTTTTTTTTTTTCTTTTTGAGACAGAGTCTCACTCTATCACCCAGGCTGGAGTGCAGTGGTGCAATCTTGGCTCACTGCAACCACTGCCTCCCAGGTTCAAGCAATCCTCCCACCTCAGCTTCTCACGTGGCTGGGACTACAGGTGCCTGCCACCACGCTCAGCTAATTTTTGTATTTTTTAGTAGAGATGGGGTTTCACCATGCTAGCCAGGCTGGTCTCACACTCCTGACCTCAGGTGATCCACCTGCCTCGGCTTTCCAAAGTGCTGGGATTACAGGCATGTGCCACCTCACCCAGCCTGGATTCTACACATAATTTACGGTACAAAGAATATGTCATTCCTTTTTTTTTTCCCACTGCTTGCAGCAGTGATTCGTCATTACCTTCATTGTGCTTGCCTCTACTAATCCTGCATTTCTTTTTAATTATTTCTAATCTGTAGAATGATGTGTCAGATTTTACACTAAGAAGTATCTAATAAAAGCCTGAGAACAATTACTTCAGGAACTTTTTTTTAAATATTTATTTATTTATTTATTTAATTTATTTTTTTTTTTGAGATGGAGTCTCGCTCTGTCGCCCAGGCTGGAGTGCAGTGGCCGGATCTCAGCTCACTGCAAGCTCCGCCTCCCGGGTTTACGCCATTCTCCTGCCTCAGCCTCCCGAGTAGCTGGGACTACAGATGCCCACCACCTCGCCCGGCTAGTTTTTTGTGTTTTTTAGTAGAGATGGGGTTTCACCATGTTAGCCAGGATGGTCTTGATCTCCTGACCTCGTGATCCACCCATCTCGGCCTCCCAGAGTGCTGGGATTACAGGCTTGAGCCACTGCGCCAGGCCAATATTTATTTATTTATTTATTTTGAGACAGCCTTGCTCTGTTGCCCAGGCTGGAGTGCAGTGGTGCAATCTTGGCTTACTGCAACTTCCACTTCCCAGGTTCAAGTGATTCTCATGCCTCAGCCGCCCTAGTAGCTGGGACTACAGGTGCATGCCACTATGCCCAGCTAATTTTTGTATTATGTTCTACTTATGCCCAGCTAATTTAGCAGAGATGGGTTTCACCATGTTGGCCAGGCTGGTCTTAAACTCCTGACCTCAAGTGATCCACCTGCTTTGGCCTTTCAAAGTGCTGGGAGCCACCGCGCCTGGCCAAAATAATTTTAACTTCTGCTTTGGGGGGATTGTTCCAGAAAGTTCAAGGAATTCAAGAGATTAGTGTAATCCAGATACATCCAACAATAAAACTGGTAATTCTAAAATTAAAGATTTATAGTACATCACTGATACTAGTTAATAGTAATTATTTGCAAGGGAATAATGCATTTTTGGCATAATTGAATACTTATTAGCTATTCGACATAAAATTCATAGCCACTATGTGTGTAATGCAAACTTCCTAATGATAGTTCTCCATGTGGGTTTTCTAATCACCAAACTCTAAACTGGCTTCTGGTTCTATTCGTTTTTAGTTTTGAAACAAAGTTTTGAATTCTTAATTACAAATGGCCCTCTTTCAGTCCAACATTTGGTCATGTAGTCATTTGATACTGGTTTAAGATCAGGAGTTGCTTGTACAAGATGAAAATCACTTAAAGGCACTTTCTACAAAAATAATTGATTAGTTTGGTTATACATGCATTCACTCTGTGATCAGTACCTCTGTAGAACTGAAGGGCTGGGATTTACATGCTTTGTTTTGTACCTGTCCTTTCTTTCAAGACTGGTTAAATTCAAGTAAACATATTTTTGCCAACCTTAACAAAATCTGTTTTATTCTATTAACAGTTCCTAATTAGAATGCAAATTACAAGTCACATAAAGCTGGTTGAGAACAGAAGTGCAGAGTACTAATCTCCTAACTTGCTTATCTTTGGATATAGACCAACACCAGTGAACTGAGCAAATTGTATGTGCTCTGTTCTTTCTTTTCCAAAGGAATTTGTTATATGTCTTGTCTTTGGGGATATACATGTATACTTACTACCAAATGAAGAAGATAATGAAATAATTCATTGAGTTTCATGGTAAGAAAGAGTGTGAGAATAGAAGAGAGCAGTACCATAAATGTCAAGTTAAAAGAATTAGGTAGCTCCCTCTCCTGGAGAAAAAATATGGCTAAATGCTATCTCTACAGCAGAGACAAAAATTAATTATTTGTTTCAGTGATGTTTTTGTTTTAGATGCTTTTATAGCATGTGTTGTAGAATCATAAAATTGAGCCCTCGATATATATAGGAAGTATATTCAGTCTAGAATAATTAACTTCTCCAAGGTCACCTAGATAATAAGGGAGCTAGCTACAAATTATAACCCAGAATTTAAGATTCCTAGAATAGTTTCGTTTCTTCCATTTTAAATAAAGTTCTACAGGGACTTAATGATTCTGCAAGTGTACCTTAGAAGCTGTCTTTATTTGTTTTAATTATTGGAGTTCCACATTTAAGAAAAGAAAGGTTGAAAACTTTTTGTACTGTATGGATAGTCTATTTTTAGATATGATTTTTGTTTTACATACTTTCAGGTCCCAATCCCACCTTAGAGAACAGTATCTCTTGTTTTATTTTAGTGAGGAAAGAAATGTACTTCTGTTAAAATTTACTTTATTTCATGGGTTTCTTGAACATAGTAAATAAGGAATTGCTTTTTTGTGTGTTTTTATAGGGTCTCATATAGTGATATGCTAGATCTTAACAAGGTACCAAAAATAGCTGCCTCCTGCTGAAAAACTTTATGACCACAAAGTTGTGAACTTTGTCAGACACAATGCCAGCTACTTGGAAGGCTGAGGCAGGAGGATCACTTGAGCCCAGGCTACAGTGAACTATGATAGTGCCACTGCACTCCAGCCTGGGCAACAGAGCATGACCCATCTCAAAAAAAAACAAAAACAAAAACAAAAAAAACAAACCACCGATTGTGAACTACCTACCCTACTAAAGTCTGTTTGAACTGGTTTCATGAGGCAAGCTTGGGCAGAGCATGATGCTTAACTGTTAAGCTAGACCACCCCTGCCTGGCTGAAGTGCTGATTATTAGTCAGTGGGACTGTGCACAGCAGATCGACATGTACTTCTGGCATATCCAGAGGTGCCACTTCTCCCCAAATACTCTAAGATACAACATTAACCATTAGCCATTGTAAATAACTGGTCTAGAGATCTCTTTAAGATGTTAATACAAGGGTTACTGTCACAGATACCTCTCAGTTATCTTAAGCAAAGAAATAGCTTGTCCATAAAACTGATCATTTTTACAGTCCTTTCAGCTTTTTTTCCTAATTGAGTTCAGATACTGAAGGTCTGCAGAGATGGACCAGATACGACTACTTTGAAAGAGTCTAAATAATATAGTAAATATATAGGTAAATTTCTACAAAACAAATAAGGATAATAGCTAATATTAAAGTGCTTTGCACATTGTACCTACATTCTCATTTAATCTTTTTAAGAACCCTGTAAGTATAGATGCTATAATTATTTCCATTTTACTGATGGGAAAGCTGAGATCTGGAGAAGGTGAGTAGTGTACCCAAACTTACAGCTTATAAGAGGTAAAAACAGAATTTAAATCCAAATAATCTAATTCCACAGCTCACTACTTTGTGTGTACTAATTTGACTACTACCCAATTATGTCCAAAAAAAAGGGAAGAAAATAACATCTCTCCCAAGCAGGAAAGGGAATATCAGGAAGACTTTAGGAAAAAGGAGGCATTTGAAATGGACTTTGATTATAAGTTAGACTCAGATGTAGAAATAAAGAATATTCCAGGCCAGAAGATACAAAAATTATACTGTGAGCAAGGTGAAAGGCCCAAAGATAGAAAAATAGGGGACAAAAACAAAAGTGCCTTTGGTTTGGTTGAACTAGAGCATAGATATGTGAAAGTGTAAGTTCAGGAAAGAGATGGTAGGGTCTAAATTTTGATATGAGCATAATTTTGAATTAAGGAGGATGTATTGGGGGCTGGGAGTATGTGATTACCATATGCCCAAAGATAACATGGAGATTCTTCCTCAAATTTATCCTTTAGAAAAGAGGGGAATCACCATGTATCAAACCTTTATCGTACTCTCATATTACAGGGTTTTCACTGTCCTTTACTTTGAACAACATCAAACCCAAAAAGGTTAATGAAATCAAATGAAACAGGTGAGAACAAATGTGCCTGCAAAGACTTTAGCTCATGTAGTTAGAAATGTTTATTGAGAACATCAGACAGAATTGTTTTTAAGCCATAAACATAAATTTAGTCCTTGTTCTCAGCAATATGACTTCACTCTTCTGAGGACTGTATGTGATTTTAAACAACTGGTTTAAAGATCTCTGTAAGATGTCTGTATAAGGGTTACATGAATAAAAACCTATAAGATAAATGCAAAAAAAAAAATCTCGTTATTTTAATGTTACGTAAATAGGTGCTTTTCGCTGCACATTTTACCTGAAGACACAGCTTAGAGGGAATGTGTTACGTTATGCCAGAAAACTGCAGGAGCGTCATAATTTAGCTTCAGTGAAGGTAAAGATGCTGGTGTCTTTACCTATGAAGAGTTTGGGGGAGAGGGAGCAATATTTCTGAATTAATGTATTTAGTATGCAATCTTATTTAGGTGTATAAATTAATAAGTTAGATAATTATAGATATCTCATTCACATTCCTTAAAGTTTAAATATATTCAAGTTGGGAAATAAAAAAGGTTTTCTGGTTTTTTAGTTCCTTTTTCTCAGGTGGGAATTAACAAATGTGTCTTATATTCAGAGCACCTTTAGAATTGGCTACATGTGGTGGATCTTAGTTTGCAGAAAATAAATTTCATATAATTCAGCAGCCATTTCTGCTTTTTTAATAGTTAAAATAAGAATACATTATCAGAGGCCGGGTGCGGTAGCTCACGCCTGTAATCCCAGAAATTTGGGAGGCCGAGGTGGGCGGATCACGAGGTCAGGAGATCGAAACCATCCTGGCTAACATGGTGAAACCCCATCTCTACTAAAAATAAAAAAAATTAGCCGGGCATGGTAGTAGGCGCCTGTAGTCCCAGCTACTCAGGAGGCTGAGGCAGGAGAATGGCATGAACCTGGGAGTTGGAGCTTGCAGTGAGCCAAGATCGCACCACTGCACTCCAGCCCGGGCGACAGAGCGAGACTCCGTCTCAAAAAAAAAAAAAAAAAAAATACATTATCAGAAATACTTAAATAGGAATAAGCCAAATATGACTGCTGTTGCCATTATATTTTAACATTCTTTTGGTGATTTTAATTGATAGAAATATAAGAAGAGCAAAAATATTATTTGTAGATTATCACCTAACAAAATCTAAGATGCTTATCACAGTGGCAAGATACATAATAAATGTACAAATAAATAGCTTATCTTTATGCCAGCAGTAACCAATTAGTTGTATGGATATACCAGCATATACGTAAAAGGCTGTTGGTTGCAGCATTATTTTAAGTAGCAAAAATGAAACAACCAAAGTGTTTATCATTAGGAGATCCCATTTAGAAATTAAATGAAAGTAGTATGCTATAGAACAGTATGTATAGGAAAGACATGTTTTTATTTATTTTAACAAAAACTATGTGAAAATGGCCACTTACGCATAGAAAAAAATCCATGAAGGTTATGCACCAAACCACTAATAGTGGTTTCCTCTTGAGAACAGGATTAGGGGTATTTTCATTAACTTTATAATATGATATACTAGTTAAAATTTTTATTACAAGTAGATGTTATATTAAGGAAAAATTTAAATTAGGTATTAGAGGATCTTGAAAGTCAGCCGTAAATTTCAAATTTTCTTTCTTTCTTTTTTTTTTTTTTTTTTGAGACAGTTTCACTGTTGTTGCCCAGGCTGGAGTGCAATGGCACAATCTCGGCTCACTGCAACCGCCGTCTCCCTGGTTCAAGCGATTCTCCTGCCTTAGCCTCCTGAGTGGCTGGGAGGAAGGCCCACCAGCCTGGCCCACCACCATGCCCATCTTTTTTTGCAATTTTAGTAGAGATGGGGTTTTCTCCATGTTGGCCAGGCTGGTCTCGATCTCCAGACCTCAGGTGATCTGCCCGCCTCGGCCTCCCAAAGTGCTGGAATTACAGGCATGAGTTACCGTGCCCTGCCTCAAGTTTTTATTTGTTAGGCAGAAGGGGCAGTACTCTAGGGGTCATAGTCCTGTTTTGTTTGGTTTTGTTTGCTTGATTTATTACAAAATTTAGTACTCGAGTATAGTTATGTGCCGTGCATTAAATTAGGTGTATAATTATGTGCCATGCATTAAATTATACCTGAGTGCCTAGTACATAGTAGATTCCCAGGTGTCATTCCCTTTGCCCCACTTTGAGTTAAATGATAATGTCCTTGTTTCAAAAAGAGAAACTTCATTTTTATAATAAAATAAGCAATCTAAGGCATTAACAGCTAGTAAATATTAAAGCTAAAATTTGAAAATATCTGTTATTCCAAATCCAGTGCTTTCCTCACTATTTTGTAGCTATAATCAAAACTATTCTTCAAGCATATTAATTATACAGTTGATAAAATAGGGTAAGGAGAAAAGATTAAAGGAAGCTACTAGATTTATCTGATATAGGTGCCAAAGTGAGAGCTGATGCCAAGAGATAGGGAAAAAGGGAATGGCAGGGATGGGATGGGGAAAGGAACTGTCTGGATATGTTATCTAAATGTCTTTGTAAAGACCTGTTGTTGGGGTGAGGGAGATACTGTGTGAAGAGCCAATGGTAACTCGAGTATTAAAAGATTGGTTAATTGTTCCTGGTGGCACCATCACAAAGAACATCAGAGGGAAAACAAATATATAATGGAAATTGATGAATTTGGGTGTGTGCATGTCTTGATTACTAAAATCATTATTTACAGACACTGAAGGCTTTAGGTAAACATGCTTCCTTAGAAACATGCTGTTACTGATTTGAAATAAAACTGAATCATGGTATTTTATTCTTAGCAGCAGGGAATACAGCAGACAGCCCCTCCTCAACAGACAGTGCAGTATTCACTTTCACAGACGTCAACCTCCAGTGAGGCCACTACTGCACAGCCAGCGAGTCAGCCTCAAGCTCCACAAGTCTTGCCTCAAGTATCAGCTGGAAAACAGGTAAACTTTTTTTTTTAAATCAGGTAAACTCTTAATTTCTGAAAGGATGCTAAAAGGGGTCTCCATGTAACTTGTCCTTTCATGTGGATAGACCCTTGAAGTAGGTTAATCTCATTGCAAAAATGAAGTGAAAATCACCTCATTTGTGCATATGCATTGTTTGATGTAAGTGGGTACATCACTGACAACATTGACAATCCAAAGTTTCACTTTTAGTCTTACCAGTCCAAAATCGATTTAACAGGTACTAGAAATAATGGGTTAAATAAAGGTGCTTCGGTAACTGAACCTATGACGTTCCCTAGAATTGTGTCAGCTGTGTCTGATATTCTAGGTTTCCAACTGTGCTTTATTTTCATGTGGATTTCTGCACTGTTTACTATGTGGAATTTTTTTTTTCTTAAGTAGTCCTCCTAATCACTTGAAAAGTACCCTGTAGAAGGTATGCTCTTCTAAATGACCTTTTTTCAACTTTATTTTTGAGTACTGTTGTGCATGTATGTGCACAGTGTATTGTTACCCTAATATTTCATCACATCTGAGATGCTATGAACTATAAATGTACTATATTTTATGTACCACATCATCAGTTATAAGATAGATCCCAATTTCTCACATGTTAAAATGATCAGGTAGTGGAGAGGGATGATTGCATCCTAGAATGAGTGAAATATGTGAATTATACCAATTTTTATTGAGTCATGTTAGACTTAAGAGTTTTAGAAATAATATGAATGAAATCTTAATTCCACTGGGAAGGAATTCATTTGAATTTCACTAACTACTGTAATAGCAGTCATAACTTTAGTGATAGCATTATGGTATATAAAATATATTTCAATAAAGCTGTTTAAAAAAAAAAAAGCAAACCCCTTGTCTATGGAAGGGTCCTCTTTTATTGCCAAATGCTGAAGCATTAGCAAGTATTTCTATGACAAAAGGTATAGAACAGTCATAGTCTATTTAGACTCTTTCTCTCCTGCTCTCCTTTCCATATTCTTATGTGGCATGTTAACTTAACACTAATGTATGCAGGGTTTTGTTGGTTTCGTGTTTTTTTGTTTTGTTTTGTTTTGTGTTTTCCTTCTTTTTGGCTAATACGTAAATCTTGCTTTTGGCAGCCTTGCTTTTTTTTTTTTTTTTTTTTTTTTTTTTAAAAAAAAAAGCTTGTCTGTTTTGTTTTTCTTTACCTTCCCAGCTTCCAGTTTCCCAGCCAGTACCAACTATCCAAGGCGAACCTCAGATCCCAGTTGCGACACAACCCTCGGCTGTTCCAGTCCACTCTGGTGCTCATTTCCTTCCAGTGGGACAGCCGCTCCCTACTTCCTTGCTCCCTCAGTACCCTGTCTCTCAAATTCCCATATCAGCTCCTCATGTGTCTACGGCTCAGACAGGTTTCTCATCCCTTCCCATCACGATGGCAGCTGGCATTACTCAGCCTCTGCTCACGTTGGCTTCATCTGCTACAACAGCTGCGATCCCGGGGGTATCAACTGTGGTTCCTAGTCAGCTTCCAACCCTTCTGCAGCCTGTGACTCAGCTGCCAAGTCAGGTTCACCCACAGCTCCTACAGCCAGCAGTTCAGTCCATGGGAGTACCAGCTAACCTTGGACAAGCTGCTGAGGTTCCGCTTTCCTCTGGAGATGTTCTGTACCAGGTATTGTGTTAGCTAGCAAAAGAGGGCACCATAGAGTTTGATCCTAATAGATCAGCAAGAACAATGGAAATCTAATAGTTGAGTGTCAGAATAACTAGCAATAACATGTCAACTAGAGAAGCAAAATAGTAAAATTCTGAGAAAGGATTGGGTAATGATGTTCAGTGATTCCTGATCCATTTTTCTCAAGACACCTCTTCAGAGAAAAATGGTTCTCTCAGTATTCAGTGTAAGCTGATCGAATGCTAGATGTGGTTAATAGTATACCTGACAACTCTTACATACATGGGTAGAATAAATAGAATAGCCAACATGGTATCAACAGAGAGCTTCAGGGTTTACATTGGGAAAATTAGCATTTCATGATATGACTGTTATGTGGAAGAATTTTTGCATTCTTCCATTTAAGATTGGCTAGGAAGAAATTGTGTTCCTCCTACTTAAATCATCTCTAGGTGAAGACAACCAACAATAAAAGTATTATTGTAGAGTCCTGTCTCTTCTGTTGGAACCAGTCTACTACTTCATTTCAAGAATGTGGTCTTTATATGCCCTTTAGATTATTAGAAAGAGATTGGCTACTGTTCTTCTTTGCTGTGTGCTTTTTTTTTTTTTTTTTTTTGCATGTCTTGCTGTTTTGCTAATTTAATGACCCCCAACCTGCTCTAACTCACCTTCCTCATTTCTGTCACAGGGTTTCCCACCTCGACTGCCACAACAGTACCCAGGAGATTCAAATATTGCTCCCTCTTCCAACGTGGCTTCTGTTTGCATCCATTCTACAGTCCTATCCCCTCCCATGCCGACAGAAGTACTGGCTACACCTGGGTACTTTCCCACGGTGGTGCAGCCTTACGTGGAATCAAATCTTTTAGTTCCTATGGGTGGTGTAGGAGGACAGGTTCAAGTGTCCCAGCCAGGAGTGAGTTTAGCACAAGCCCCCACTACATCCTCCCAGCAAGCAGTTTTGGAGGTAAAGAGAATTACTGCATGTTTATATATAAAACATACATAATTGGATAAAAATGATAAAGGAGAAAGAAACAGGCTCCCCTGGTTTAGAACTGATTTGGAGACTATGTCAAACTAACTTCTGCATGACTTTTTCTTACAGCAGAATGAAATGCCAATGTGGGGTCCTTGTTTCCACTGGCTGTTCTGTTGGGAAGTGAGTGTGCCTTGGAGAGGATTAACCCTATTAGCACTTCACTTCTCTAGCTAGCACTTTAGCCATTATTCTTGTCTTTTCACAAACTTTTTCCATTGGCAGTCATAAGAGTATCTTATCCTCCTGTGCTCTCTCAGCAATCATTTTTGCCCTGCTAGGAGAAAGATCTGAATTCATCTTTGTACTTTGCTCTGCCTGCCCTATTGCACACTTCTGGTAAGATGCTGGCTGCATGGCGAGTTGTAGGTTCACACTGCCTAGCAGATATGTTGGCTGACCTCATACCATGCAGTCTATACCAGAGACTAGCTTTAGAAACTTCCTTTGGAATTTTAAGTCCATTATCTCTAGACGCTAAATATTGAGAATTTACTAGTAAATTTAGTGCTTCTAGGACTTAGTGGGGAGGGATAAGGAAAAAAATAAGTAGATTATTGGGGATAGGGATTGATAAATATATTACTACCGAGATTTGAATTATCTTTTCGATTCACAGAGTACTCAGGGAGTCTCTCAGGTTGCTCCTCCAGAGCCAGTTCCAGTAGCACAGCCACAGCCTACCCAGCCGGCCACTTTGGCTTCCTCTATAGACAGGTATGTAAAACTAGAATTCTCCTTCCTCGACTGGTAGATAAGATGATATGAAACACCAAACTGTCAGACCTTTAAATCTCATATTATAAACTGCACTTTTATTTTCTTTTTAAATTTCAAAGTGCACATTCAGATGTTGCTTCAGGTATGAGTGATGGCAATGAGAACGTCCCATCTTCCAGTGGAAGACATGAAGGAAGAACTACAAAACGGCATTACCGAAAATCTGTAAGGAGTCGTTCACGACATGAGAAAACTTCACGCCCAAAATTAAGAATTTTAAATGTACGTATTACTGATTTGTGGGTTTCATGTCGTTAAAGGAATGTGACACTGAAAAAGATTTTAGAAGTCATCACATCCAAACCACTCACTTCATGAAATAAAGATAACTATCTATGTGTGATAGATAATTGCTTTTTTGTTGTTGTTTTTAGACGGAGTCTTGCTCTGTCACCCAGGCTAGAGTGTAGTGGCGCGATCTCGGCTCACTGCAACCTCTGCCTCCCGGGTTCAGGCGATTCTTCTGCCTCAGTCTCCCAAGTAGCTGGGACTACAGACAGATGCCACCACGCATGGCTAGTTTTTGTATTTTTAGTAGAGACAGGGTTTCACTGTATTGGTCAGGCTAGTTTCGAACTCCTGACCTCAAGTGACTCACCCGCCTTGGCTTCCCCAACCACTGGGATTACAGGGACCCAGCCAGATAATTTATTTAGTAACTCTTCTCATTTAATGCCTACAGTCTCTTTGACTTAAATATCACATTTTTAGAAAAATGAAAATGTGGTTCATAAAGCTATGATAGGGCCAGCAGTTAATATCATTTAAATATTTCTTAAGGCTGAGATGAATTGATGAATGTATAGGATCTTATAATTAGCCAGATGATATTCTTACATCCATATTTCTGTGATAAAGCACTACTTACCGTTTAGAAAAAGAATAGAGAGTTTTAGTAAGTAGCTCAAAGGCTAATGTCTTCTCAGATTTTTCTTGCTACCAGTTTAAGAGACAAAGTACTATTGCTCCAAGGAACAGTGATAACACTATGCTTCCTTAGACATAAAGTCAAGTGCCAATCTGCATTGCTTTTCTGAAATTCAGTAATAAAGCTGAATGTGGTCTTTGGAGATGATGTACCTTTTTTCTTTTTAGGTTTCAAATAAAGGAGACCGAGTGGTAGAATGTCAATTAGAGACTCATAATAGGAAAATGGTTACATTCAAATTTGACCTAGATGGTGACAACCCTGAGGAGATAGCAACAATTATGGTATGTCTGCATTTGGAGTTCTAAGTTTTTCCTTAGTACTTGATCTTAATAGCCATTGCTCTAGGCAAATATGCCATATTTTGTAATCCATGTTTATTTAAAGTTATGCATTTACTTCAGTGTGAGTAAAACTAGCACACCCAACCTGTGATTTAGTGATGTTTTTGTCTAGGCTATGTCTAACTAGATATTGAAGTTCTTACAAAGAGAAGAGCTAACTTGAGTACAAAATAAATAAAAATATAGGTAAGTATGCAGATAGGACAGAAGTCATAAAACTGATAGTTGAATGACATAAAGTTTAAGAAATGACACTAATTAGACTGACATCACATTTCTTTTACAGGTGAACAATGACTTTATTCTAGCAATAGAGAGAGAGTCATTTGTGGATCAAGTACGAGAAATTATTGAAAAAGCTGATGAAATGCTCAGTGAGGATGTCAGTGTGGAACCAGAGGGTGACCAGGGATTGGAGAGTCTACAGGGAAAGGATGACTATGGCTTTTCAGGTTCTCAGGTAGGTTCACCACTCCCATAGTGAAACTTTGTTGATTTAAAATATTTTCATAGTTCTAAATTTGCTATGCAAAATGTCCAGTGATATCACCTGACACCTATGACCAACAACAAACTTTTATGTTCTCTTCGCACGTGGCAGTTTGCTTTGCCTAGTCATTGAGATTGCGTTTGAGAATGTATTTAATCACTTTTGTTTGTTGTAGAAATTGGAAGGAGAGTTCAAACAACCAATTCCTGTGTCTTCCATGCCACAGCAAATAGGTGAATTTATTTTCTTTCCTTGTTTTTACCTTTGACTTAAGAAGCCATTAGCTGGAAATGGTGGCGGGCATCTGTAGTCCCAGCTACTCGGGAGGCTGAGACCTGAGAATCACTTGAACCCAGGAGGCGGAGGTTGCAGTGAGCTGAGATCGCGCCACTGCACTCCAGCCTGGGTGACAGAGTGAGACTGTGTGTCAAAAAAAAAAAAAAAAAAAAGCAATTGTGTGTGCCAATAATGAAGTCTAACAATACTTACAATAATAAGTTGCATGCGTTTGTTGGTTTTTGACCAGGCATTCCTACCAGTTCTTTAACTCAAGTTGTTCATTCTGCTGGAAGACGGTTTATAGTGAGTCCTGTGCCAGAAAGTCGATTACGAGAATCAAAACTTTTCACCAGTGAAATAACAGATACAGGTAAGGGATTGATTCTGCCACATTGTTATGTAAATTCTACAGTGCCTCTGCTATGTTGAAAGCTTAATCATAAAGCAGTAATTTATGATGACACAGATAATAAAAAAGAATAGAAAACTGAAGTTATAACCAACAGATAAACATATGAGAGAGGGAAATAGATGTAGAATAGAGAGGATTACAGAAAAAGCCAAGAAGCACGGCCATACCTAGATATAGCCTGTATAATAGATATTGTAGTATGTGTTTATTTCTGCACTTAGTACTATTGTCTGTGTTTTAAGATTACTCCTTATTTTTTTATCAAAAACATATTTATAGGAGCTGACTTAGGCTAGTGGACAATCTTTTGAATCCATCCTTTTAAAATGGGCTGATTCTTATTTTTTTGTATTCCTTTCCAGTTGCTGCCTCTACATCTCAGAGCCCTGGAATGAACTTGTCTCACTCTGCATCATCCCTTAGTCTACAACAGGCCTTTTCTGAACTTAGACATGCCCAAATGACAGAAGGACCCAATACAGCACCTCCAAACTTTAGTCATACAGCACCAACATTTCCAGTAGTACCTCCTTTCTTAAGTAGCATTGCTGGAGTCCCAACCACAGCAGCAGCCACAGTACCAGTCCCTGCAACAAGCAGCCCTCCTAATGACATGTCCACATCAGTAATTCAGTCTGAGGTTATGGTGCCCACTGAAGAGGGGATTGCTGGAGTTGCCACCAGCACGGGTGTGGCAACTGCAGGTGGTCTCCACATACCACCTGTGTCTGAATCACCAGTACTTTCCAGTGTAGTTTCAAGTACCACAATACCTGCAGTTGTCTCAATATCTACTACTTCCCCATCACTTCAAGTCCCCACATCCACATCGGAGAACATTGTTTCTAGTACAGCACTGTATCCTTCAGTAACAGTTTCAGCAACTTCAACTTCCGCAGGGGGCAGCACTGTGACCCCAGGTCCTAAGCCTCCAGCCGTCGTGTCTCCGCAGGCAGCAGGCAGCACTACTGTGGGAGTCGCATTAACATCAGTTTCCGCTACCACTTCACTGCCAAGCACAGCTTCACAGCTGTCCATTCAGCTTAGCAGCAGTACTTCTGCTCCTACTGTAGCTGAGACCGTTGTAGTTAGTGCACACTCACTAGATAAGACATCTCACAGCATTACAACTGGATTGGCTTTGTCCCTCTCTGCGCCATCTTCCTCTTCCTCTCCTGGAGCGGGAGTGTCTAGTTCTATTTCTCAGCCTGGTGGGCTGCATCCTTTGGTCATTCCATCAGTGATAGCTTCTACTCCTATTCTTCCCCAAGCAGCAGGACCTACTTCTACACCTTTATTACCCCAAGTACCTAGTATCCCACCCTTGGTACAGCCTGTTGCCAATGTGCCTGCTGTACAGCAGACACTAATTCATAGTCAGCCTCAACCAGCTTTGCTTCCCAACCAGCCCCATACTCATTGTCCTGAAATAGATTCTGATACACAACCCAAAGCTCCTGGGATCGATGACATAAAGACTCTAGAAGAAAAGCTGCGGTCTCTCTTCAGTGAACACAGCTCATCTGGAGCTCAGCATGCCCCTGTGTCACTGGAGACCTCACTAGTCATAGAGAGCACTGTCACACCAGGCATCCCAACTACTGCTGTTGCACCAAGCAAACTCCTGACTTCTACCACAAGTACTTGCTTACCACCAACCAATTTGCCACTAGGAACAGTTGCTTTGCCAGTTACACCAGTGGTCACACCTGGGCAAGTTTCTACCCCAGTCAGCACTGCTACATCAGGAGTGAAACCTGGAACTGCTCCCTCAAAACCACCTTTAACTAAGCCTCCGGTAAAATTATTGGGATAAAATAATTAGATAAATATGATCAGTTTTTTTTCTCCCTATTAAGTACATTTTTCAATTCAGCCTTGCAAGTTAGAAACATAGTTATAAAGTTACCTGGCTTATAGTACTTATTAAACAAATTGACAGCAGTTTGAGGGTATATCTACAATGAATATAAGATTTTTTTTCAAGTGTGGCAGGATTTGGGGGTTAATTATGCTGCACAGTTTTCCATGAATGTGTAATTATCGGGTAAAATACAAGTATTTCATCTGAATTGGTACAAAGTGAAGAAGTCTGTATCCCAAAAGGGAGCTAAATGTATCTGTCAACAAAATGTATGCAAATAACAGCAGTTCATAATCTTTGTTTCAGTGAGAATGAAGCAAATTTTTGACTTCGTTGTAGATTCCATAGTTGAACAATCTGGGGGTTATAAAAAATTGGAACTTAGTAAGGAAATACAGAGGAGGAAGAAATAATCTAATCCTAGGACTGAAGTAACTGGAATTTATTATCTAATTATGCTGTGGTGGATTTCCTCTTGTTCTGCCACCTTCTCCAAATAACAAGGCTGTGTTATATCTACTGTATTGTATGCTTCAGCCTCTTTCTGCATTGCCATTGATGTGAGGTTCTTTTTATAGTAGGATAATGCAGAATCTTCACTCAGATAAAATAGAAATTCTTGATAATACTATTAGATTTCTGATGCCTTTTGTTATCAGGCCTGCCTGTTGGTTATTTCTTACCCAGCCACTGTTTTCTTTTCTCGGAAAATCTTGTTTTACATGGCAAAAGCCTGATACATACTGTAGCAAATAAGTAGCTCAAGAATATCTGGATACTGCCACTTATGTACATACAGCCTTTGTTCTGTTCTCCCGAGGGAACGACTTTTTACTGTATTTTACAATTCATTTTATAGGTATATTGTAGTAACCCCTATAAGAATATCACTGGTCATCACACCTTTTTTTAAGACAGATACCAGAGTGTAACCTTGGTGATAAACATGTCTTAACTAGATACATTTTATTCTTATATTTGTGCATTCAAATTAGTTGATTTGCTCTTCAGTATGCAGTCTTTATATTTAATGTCTCATGGACATGAATTTCCCTTTGTTGTCTGTAGGTGCTGCCAGTGGGTACTGAACTTCCAGCAGGTGCTCTACCCAGCGAGCAGCTGCCACCTTTTCCAGGACCTTCCCTAACCCAGGTGCCTCAGGACTTGACCAGTTTCTTCCTGCGCCCTACTTTCTCTGACAAAGCTTGCTGAAGTTATCCACTGTGGTCTTGGCTTTTGTCTATTTGGCTTTGATTTAGTAACACCTTTCTTTTAAAACGTTATAACCAATGACCCAGGTCCTACTTAAAGTAAGAAGCTTCATAGCTCTTCTGTTTGTCATGTTTCCGGTTATCTGAAAACACTTGATACTAATATTTTTTTGTATCTTATGAAGGAAGAAAACAGCAAAGCCAACATTTTGCCAGACCTATATAGCTCCCTTTGTCATTCATACTTCTGTAGAATAGCGAAATTGCATATAAAATCAAAATTAACTTTGAGAGTGCCTTAGAAAGAAGCAGCACAGTGGCAACTGATAAACTTTTTCTGTGAGTCCAGAGCAACCAGTTTTTTCTTGAATGTTTATCATTTCTTTCACTAGCCACCTAATGAAGTAATTAGCTTACATATAGGTAGGTATAGGAGTGATATTTCATGAAAACTGTGTGTGCTGTATGTTTTAAAATAAAAGCCACCCAGCTCACTGAGGTGCTAACATGAGATTACTCATGGAGGAACTGAGACCAGCCACATGAACTTGAGATTCCCATCTCACAGTCAGTTCTGCTTACTGAGTGCAGTGGTGGACAGAATTACGTGTAATATTTATTATTTCCCTTTCTCACCCCAGCCTACCACCAACACATTTAGTTGAATTTCCATAAGAAAAGTACTAATTGTGAATCTGTTGTGACCAGGAAAAAGCTTCTGACATGAGACAAGCCAGTAAACTTTTAAACTAAATTAGGAACTTATTTTTGAATCATATATAAGAAATAAGAAAAACGTGATAAACTGCTTACTTGAGAGGCTGAGTTGGAATTTATCCCTATTTCTTTGGTCCCAATATACAGAGGAACAGTATTTAAGGAACTTGCCACAATAAAGTAAAAACTCCAACAGAGAAAGCACTCCATCAGCCACCAGATTTGGGGGAAAGTGCATTGTGAAAGTCCGTAAATCAGGAGTTTAGTTTTAAACTTATTTTCTCATTTAAAAACATGTATTCAGATTTCTTAGGGAGCATAAAGTGTGATGAGAAATAGCAAGTGAGACATGTGGAGGGGTCCTAGATACAGGGAAAGGCATCAGTGAAGGCTGTGCAAGAATAGATTGATAGAAGCCAGGACGGATGGAGGATTAGACTGTGGAAGGGTAGAAGGAAGCTGTGTGCTTGGGGTGGACGGAATGGTTAACAGGATGGAATACCCAGATCTCCTTGCCACCATCTGTAGGGAAGAAGTATACACGTAAGACCTGAAGAAGAGAATAATATCCTGTGATAGTGACAGAATATGTTAATGCCATCTTTTATTCATAGGGACAACTTCCCAGAAAGATGTATAAAACTGAGAAAGAAAAGAGGGAATATGAGATACGGTGACTCTACCAGTAGATCTTTGTGCATTTTTCACAATATATTTTAAAGATCGCACAAATAAACAACTCTTTCTACCATTTTGAGTAACATCAAACATAGAATGTAATAAGACTTCTCTTAAACTGCAAAAACATGAACTACTCTAAGCCTTGAGAGTCTGACATACAATCTTGAGAAACCAGCAAAATAATCAAAGCAGTAGACTAAATTTGAGTATAGTTTTATATGTTCTGTAAAGACAGATGTTGTGCCAATATGAAGCATAAAACAGTGTGTCCTATCTAAATTGGCTCTATATCGTGACTCTGAAGGTGCCAAGGAAGTGTATTTACTCTGATTGTTTTCATTCAGTCCCAGCAACCTCTAGAGGATCTTGATGCTCAATTGAGAAGAACACTTAGTCCAGAGATTATCACAACTGTGACTTCTGCAGTTGGTGTAAGTTTTGAAAATCTTGATAAAATCTCCTCATAACCTTAATATATTCTATGCCTGGGACACAAACTGTAACCTAAACCATTATTAATACGTTTAACATGTATTCAGAGTCCCTGCTTATTCTAGCCAAAAGAAATGAGACTGGTTAATGAAAGATTAATGCTGACTCAGGAGTATCACTGTGGAAAAGATTGTATTTGAAAGGTGCTTTTCTAGTTGTACGTCTGGTTAGATTGTGCCACAGATCAATTCTATGGATTTTGTATTTTTGTTTTAGAGGAGGCTAAATTTTGTCAGATTAAAATCATGTTTTGGGCCAGGCACAGTGGCTCACGCCTGTAATCCCAGCACTTTGGGAGGCCGAGGCGGGCGGATCACTAGGTTAGGAGATCGAGACCATCCTGGCTAACACGGTGAAACCCCATCTCTACTAAAAATACAAAAAATTAGCCAGATGTGGTGGTGCACACCTGTAGTCCCAGCTACTCAGGAGGCTGCGGCAGGAGAATAGCGTAAAACCCAGGAGGCGAACTTGCAGTGAGCCAAGATCGCACCACTGCACTCCAGCCTGGGCGACGGAGACTCCATCTCAAAAATAATAATAATAATGTTTTGATTGAAACTGTTTTTCTGTGACTATCCAAGTTATACCCTTAAGCATCCTATGAGAAAATGAAGAAAGCAATCAAGAATTAAAAGTAGAAATTCCTTCTTTTAAAATGTGCCTTTTGTTTTTTTTTTTTTTTGGAGACAGAGTCTTGCACCGTTGCCCAGGCTGTAGTGCACGATCTCAGCTCACTGCAACCACCGCCTCCCAGGTTCAAGTGATTCTTCTACCTTAGCCTTCCGTGTAGCTGGGATTACAGGTGCCCGCCACCACACCCGGCTAATTTTTGTATTTTTATTAGAGACGGGATTTCTCCATATTGGCCAGGCTGGTCTCGAACTCCTGACCTCAAATGATCTGCCCATGTTGGCCTCCCGAAATGCTGGGATTACAGGTGTGAGCCACCATGCCCGGCCCTGACAGGTGCCTTTCTTTACATCAGACTTTTAGACTTTAAAAGAAAAAGGAAAGAAAAGAAAATGTTCTCAGACATAAGTGTTTCATCACATATACTTTCTTTCTGCCCTTTTACAAAGACCATAGGAAAGGCAACAAGGCCAAAGTCTGAGTGACTGAAGCTAAAGATTTGTGGTGTCTGTCTGTGTATGTTTTGCAGCCTGTGTCCGTGGTGGCTCCAGCAGCAGTTACAGAAGCAGGAGCACAGCCTCAGAAGGATGGTGAGAAACATCCTTCTTCTTTTCATATTACTAATTCCAGTCCTACCTGCAGTTGATTCAGGAGGTTTACTGTTTCAAAGACACATTTCCATGTATGTGATAACTGAGGAGCATTGGTAGTAATATCTGAAGCTTGAAAATTAATAAATCTATTCTGTTGTTATTTGGCAGAGGGAAGGTTATACAGGAGGTAATGATAAGACCCTTCATTATTAGCTAGGCCAGATCCTTGCTATTAGAGATTAGGAAATTAAAGCATACTGTATTTAGAAAAGTTAATTTACTGATAACCTCTTAGCTTTTGTGACACTGGATATATAGGGATAGAAGCTTGAATAGTCTGGACATATATTTGTATGGAAATACAAATGTAAGATTTCAGTTAGTCAATTTAAATATTTTTATCTTCAAGGCAGTTATATTCTCAGTTGGCTCTCATTTTAAAAGAAGTCATGTGCAAATCATTAGAACAGTCTAGAAATGATAATGTAGATTATCAAATGTATACAATGAAAATAATAAATTAAAAGTTTGCTACCAATAAAAAGAGAATGTAGAATATGAAAAAGG